GGGGGAAGCTCGCCTGCCTCACGCCTACCTCCTCCTGCAAATAGCCCGGCTGGATGAGGCAGGACTGGAAGGCAGGATGAGGCAGGACTGGAAGGCAGAAGCAGTAGCAGTGGCGGCAGGGGCAGAAGCAGCAGCGGGGGAAGGCTTCTGCCGCCGCCGCCGCTTCTTCCCCCGCCACCGCTGCTGCTTCTGCCGCCATTTCTGCCCCCGCCACCACCCCCGCCGCTTCTTCCCCCGCCACCGCCGCCGCTTCTTCCCCCGCGGGGGCAGCGGCGATGGGGGCAGAAGCAGCAGCGGTGGCGGGAGAAGAAGCGGGGGCAGCGGGGGCAGAAGCGGCAGGGGTGGCGGCGGGAGAAGAAGCAGCGGCGGCAGGGGGCAGCAGCAGCAGTCGGGGCAGAAGCAGCAGCAGTGGCAGGGCAGAAGCGGCAGGGGCAGAAGCGGCAGGGGTGGCGGCGGGGCAGAAGCGGTGGCGGGGGTGGCGGTGGGGGCAGAAGCAGCGGGGGTGGCAGTGGGGCAGAAGCGGCGGTGGGGGCAGAAGCGGCAGGGGTGGCGGCAGGGCAGAAGTGGTGGCGGCGGGGGCAGAAGCAGCAGCGGTGGCAGGGGCAGAAGCAGCGGCGGTAACAGCAGGAGGTGGCGCTCTGACGGCGCCCGCCTTTTCTCTTGCTGCTTGGCCTGGCGCTCGCCTCGCCCCGCCTCGCGCCTGCCTCTCCTCCTCCTTCTCGCTGGCTGTGGCACGATGGTTGGGGTGGGCATTGGGCCGCATTACGAGGCGACTTGGGCCGCATGCGGCCCGTGGGCCGCGGGTTGGACAAGCCTGTAATAAATGGTAGTTTCAAAAGCATTAAACAAACAGAAATTATATTAACACTATTTCATACATTTTATATCAGTAGAACACAACAAGAAATATCATGAATTCATCAGATTTTATAACTCTCTTTACTATTTAGTCTAGTCTAGTCTTTACCAAATGAAACAAATACAGACAATACATGACCATTGCTTATTGAGCTGCCATAATCTGTTTTTATTCAACATTATTCTAATAAAGCAATTGGAAAGAATGTTCCTATTAGTCCAATCAATACAATCAATGTAGCTAGTAATTAGAAGTTCTGGGAGTTTCTAAAAAATAAAGTGGCATTTCTATCCTAATAAATGTATAGGTATATAATAGAGCCTCAGTGGCACAGTGGTTAGAGTGCAGTACTGCAAGCTACTTCTACTGTAATTTGGCAGCTCGAATCCCACCAGGCTCAAGGCTGACTCAGCCTTCCATCCTTTCAAGGTGGGTAAAATGACCTAAATTCTTGGGAGCAATAGGCTGACTCTGTAAACCACTTAGAAGTGGGCTGTAAAGCACTATAAAGTGGTATATAAGTCTGAGTGCTATTGCTAGATCTATTTTATACCTATTTTATTTGCTCAGTATTGAAAGCTATATGTCTATAATTTTAAGATGCTTCTGATACAAATAAAAAGATCCAAATTGTTAATTATATTGTTGTTATTTAAGTCATTTTCCAATTGTTATGTGTTGTAACCAATTAACAAAACTTCATTTTTTATTGCTTTTGATAAAAAGGAAGTAAACTATTTAGTCATTTCTTTGGCCTTAAAATGTTAACATTGAAGTCTCTGAATTTACAGGATACCATTAGCCAGTTAGAAAGTGATTTGAGAGACACAAAGAGTGAAATGGCTCGGCATCTGAGAGAATACCAAGATTTACTGAATGTCAAAATGGCCTTGGATATAGAGATAGCAGCATACAGGTAATCAGGATTTGATTTTCAATATCTACTTAGAATTGTAATGCCTACTATTTTGAAAATGCCCAAAATAGGTGATCAAATTTATGTTGCTCTAATAGCTTGGTGAGAAATGGCTTGGTCCTATTTACTTCAATGCTTTGCTATAATTTTGCATTTACGGTCAGGGAATGTGATTATTTCGTAAAGGGAAATTTCTTTTTATCACATGACATGGTTTACCTTGTATATGTATGTAACTGTGCCTGAAAATCCTCAATTTCCATTATTAATAAAATCTTTTTTGTTGTACTTGCAGGAAGTTGTTGGAGGGTGAAGAGACGCGGTTTAGCACTTCAAGCATGAGCATCTCATCTCTGAATCCCCTTTCCAACCCTACTTACTCTTTCCAACCCAGGCTCTTTGGTTCGTCTGTAGCCAGCAGCTCTAAAATGTCATCCTCTTTCTATTTTAAGAAAGATGAGAAAGAGGAAGTTAAATTAGCCTCAAAAATTTCATCAAGCCAGGCAGAAGACCCGTTTACTGAAATGACAGAGGAAACTGTAACATCCATTAAAAAGTGAAAGAACAAATTTGGAAGAAGGAAATACTATCAATCAAAAAATGTAATCCCTGACCTTAAATACAGATACACACATAATAATATAGCTTAAGTCTTTAAATTGCCTATACCTGAATTAAGGTACTTACCCAGCTAACATCAATTTAACTTTCTAATGTTTCACAGTAGATTACTTCAATAGAAACATTCTGTTCAATACTATCAGAAACACAGAGGCTCAAAAATTAATTTAGAAATATTCTAGTAAATCTTGTTCTCCAATTGCATTGCTGTAAGGCAGACATTTCTTCCAATTGCTGAATTAAAGAGAAAATGAGCATGTGCTAACATACATGCACACACACACTCTTATTAAATCATGTTTCTGATTTATTTCTGCTGAGCACAACTTTCCAGTTGGGCAAAATCTAGCAACTGAATCACATTAGTAAAATGAAGATTAATCCTTATTGTCTGCATTGTGAAATAAAAAAACCTGACAGATAATTCAATTATTTTCCAGATAATGAACTTTACTTCATTTTAGTTCTTCTGGATCACAGAGGTAAACAATACAAATACTTATTTTACTTTGTGGTCTATGCACGTTACAAGGAAATACAAAATTATCTAGGAATGTTAGGTAGAAAATATGAACAAGGTTTAGGAAGATGAACATCCCCATGATAAACTTGCTGTATCACTGCACAAAAGAAATGCTATTAGCCCATTGTTGAGACACATAATACATTTTTTGATGTCTAAGATTATTCACAACTATTTTTAATATGCCCATCTTTAAAAAATCTACATGCTGTATTCAAATTATTAGGAGTCTTAGGATTCAACTGTTAGTTGAATGCATGTTTTTGACCATCTCTGTGGTTATCTAATAAGTCACTGTACTGTCCATTTTACCTTGTGCCACATTAGTAGCCAGCAATTTGAAAAGTTGTTGCTTAGAATAAATAGTGCCAGCTATTTAAAAATGACAAAAAAAACGTTTTAGAGGTTAGCTTTAGATAAAACAAAGCTAAAAGAATGTAGTCCTGTATTGTCTAGAAGCACAGTACTAATGCTGATTCAAAAGTAGCAGTTGCTGCTTCTATAAGGCACAACCTAAAACAGGGTTGTATGTGTTGGTTCATCATTAGAAAAAGAATGTAGATTTATGCCAGCTGCTTATTTCTGTATTATGGAAAACAATATGGTTTCTATGTAAGTTATTGAGATACGGTTTCTTAAATAAGAGAGGGACTTTTCCTAAATGTATTTTATTACACACATTCACTATTGCACAAATAAAATACACTAGTGAATTTTAGTGGTTCTTCTAATTTTGCTCTGACTGGTTGAGGTGAATGTATTTGTTCAGCCTTGCCAATCACAACTGAAAACTATATACATGCACAACACACACAAAAACAATTGATTTTTTAAATAAACAAATGGTGCTGAAATCTGATAAATAAAAATTCTTACAAGTAGCAGATTCAGCCCATGTTTCTGCAGCAAATGACACAAGAATAATCTTGGTTGTAAGAGACCAACATAAAGTTTCCTAAACAAATTTGGGAATGCTGATAAATCAGATTTCCAACTCCTATCAGAATTTAACTTCATTATGTATCTCTATCTGAACATGTGCCAAATTTTATATAGAACAACTATTTTAGATTTTCTTTGAATGCCTTAAAAATTGCCAGCAACAAAATTGCTTTCTGAAGAAATTCAAGATTGTATTATTTGATGTCTTTGCATTGATTCATCCTGTCACAAAGTTTCATAATACAAATCCATATTTATCTTGTGTCCCTTGAACTTACACTCTTCTCCTCTGTAAGGCACAAATTAATAAAAAAAAATGTTGTATCACTTTAGGCAGCCTGTTTGTCATTTGTGCTATTGTGAATATATTGTTAATGGGAGGCAGGTCAGAATGAACTATGGCCATCATTAATTTGATCTTGGAAAAATGTTTGCTTCTTAAGAATATGCAAAACACAGATATAAAAGGATACCAGGTAATTCTTGTGATATGTTGGGATTGTCTCAATCTTATGGAATAAAAAGAGGAAAAAATGTGAAATGTGGTATGTCTTAAAATTGATGTCAACATGATCCTCTACATGTGTCACAAATTGAGATAATAGCGCACACACACACATAAAATGTGCTTCAACATTGTGATTAACTCCAGAGGTTGAGTAACCAAGATGTAATAAAATATATATTTACTTGATAAGGCAAAATTTGGAATGATGCCTTGGGGATCATTTTTTTTAATGCAGAATAATATATAAATGAAGGAAAAAGAAAAGAGAATAACACAAATAAGCTCGTCTAACACTGCACATATGATTTACAGATCTAATGAACTTCTATATGCTTTGCCATTGAATTAACTGGATTACAAAAAAAATATTTTTCATATTCCACCAGAGCTCTATTATTTAATGAAACACGTACGGCATTAACAATATTTGAATAGTTTATTCAAAGATCAATTTGGAATGTAGACTCCCCTTCAAAAGAGAAATAAGAGCCTTCCAAAATACTGTATGATGTAATATAGGCAATATACATACAAATACAGAAAACTCCTCTTTTGATAATCTAAACTGCACCAGCCAACAGACTTGATCACTTGTTCTTATGTATCCCATCCCAATAATCTATTAATGTAGAATGTGAAAAATATTTTGGCTTAGACCAATTACTGAAAGTGCTCCAAGTATAAAGAAGAAGTCTAGGAGGATTAAAGGTCTCTCTATATACAGATTTCAGAAAGATTGCTTTCTTGCAATACTCAGCAAGATACTCTGATTCTGGAAATACAGAAAAAGCTAACAGAAAACCACCTAAATCAGTAGTAAGCACCTCTTAGGCAGTGAATTCTTAAAGTTATAAAGGCAAGCCTCTTGTTTCTTGACGCTACTCTTAATTAGCTATAGCTAGCTGCATGGTCATGAACTCTTCTAGCTTTACAAGAAAAAAACTGCTTCAATTGTTTTCTTCATACCATTTCCCACTGAAATGCCTCATTTGTTTTCTTTAAATGATACGATGCATTAAATTCATACAATGCATTAGTTCTTCTGTTCAGAAGTGATGTATCAGCTCTTGATTTTTATAGTTAACATGTTCTGTATAAATTTTAGCTCTATAAATACATGCAGGAACTCAAACTGAATTTAATAATGACCAGAACTTGGCCACTATACTGCTCAACCAAAGCTTGACAATTTGTGGGTATATTATGTATCAGTAATAAATATGTTATTAGTAAAAAGAAAACACTCCATACTTCTCTCCATGAACTTAATGCTTCACTTGTGACAATCCTCTCATGAGTCCGTAACAATCTTTGCAACAAAGTAAACATAAAATCTAGTAGCATATTCAAGACTTAAATTAACTCCCTGACTCTGTGCCTACTTAGATATTCAAATATATGTAATGCAGCATCCCCAGCTGGCATTCCAAAAAAATTTCTATTTGGCAATGCAGATTTTTCACTACAAAAGTTATGCCAAATTTTCTGTCAGAAAACCCCGTTTTTCTGCATTAATTCCAATTTCAATTGTCTGCTTATAACAGATTTTGCAATATTTATATTTTTATAAACTGAGGTAACATTAACTCATTTATTTACTTGATCAACTTAAAAAAGTAACAAACACTGTAATATTTTCATATTCATATTCATATGAAATTCAAATTCATATTTTTATAAGACCATTATTCTGGCTGTTATTTTATTGCTACCATTCAGCCAGCTCCTAATCTATTATTTAAGTGCACATTTATTACCTGGGGAATAAGTTTACTGTTTTAAACATTTGGAAAGCATATGGTCTATTTATTTTCCCACTGACATTGGAGGTATAAACAACAGTGGAACACCTGTTCCAATGCAGCCCAATTCATTGTCTCATCTACTTTTACATTTACATTGCTATTCAATCAGTGATGTTCTACATGCAACATAGATTTATTTCTTTTCTTGTTCTAGTATGTGGGATATTACCCATTTCAATATTTTTCATATAGAAAAATCCTTGCAATTTGTAAAGGGTGATTAGTCCCATTTTTTTCTGTAGGGAAAAATCTAAAAGTCGTTTTATTTCTAAACTGACAGCTAAAACAAAATTCAAATGTCCCTATGAATAATGCATGTTTTTCCCAATAAGACATTGTGGTCCAAGAGATCATCCCTGAGAAAAGTACTGCAAATATATTTAAAGACTTTTGGATAAATTGTGGTCTCAAGTACAACTCTGCCCAGTCACAAATGCCACAAGATCTACATATTTAGAATGAATTCTTTTTTGTTTATATGTTTCTTCTTCCCTGAGCTAGGCGCTGATGATACAAGAGCACTGAAGTATTTATAGCTTACTTACTGGTATAGTTGTTTGTTTTTCTCACTGCTTTAAATCATTTCCTTAATTATTATGCAGAGCAAACACAGTACATTTCTTTAAATTCATTTAAATAAAATGGCTTTTTTTTTTGCTGCAGTTCTCACATGAGGTTTTGTTCTTTCAAACGTCTTCTGAAAATTTAAGAGATTTTTAAAATGTGGAATCTCCACTAAGAATCAGTCCATAGTGTAGTATAAGTAACCCATCCTGGAAAGAAAAAGACAAATTGTATGAATCAAAAATCCAATGACCTCAGCAAACTTAAAAAAGCAATGACTTGTACAGACAAGTTTTCTTATTGTGCATTAGGTACAAGAGACAGTTTTATACAGTTGTGAAGGTACCAGGCTAGAAACCAGGCAACTATGAATTTTAGTCCTACCTTAGGCCCAAGTCAGTTGGGTGACATTTTCTCAGCCTTGGGAAGGTGACAATGGCAAAACATTCCCCACAATCTTGCCAAGAAAACTGCAAGAACCGGTCTAGGCAGTTGCCAGCAACCAACACTGATTTGGAGGTGCGCATGCATGCATGCATACACACACACACACACACACACACACACACACACACACACACACACGGTATTGGTATTGAAACAAAACACCTTTGGGTTAATAATTTTCTAGGGAAACAGTAAAAGACACACAACTGAATCTAAATACCACATTTCTCCACAAGGACAGTGCCAAAATATCTAACAAAGACATATTATATTGTTTCAGTTATCTGTTTGTGCCTTTTAAAACGTAACTCTCCATTAAGAAGAAAAAAGAGCTAATACCAACTTTGGATTTGGATTTCATCTTTTTACTTAACTTCCCATCTTCCTAACCTTGTTGTAGACTTTTCAAGGAGTTTGAAAGCAAATTTGAACACAATTATGTTCATTATGAATCCCAATCTTTACCTTGGCTAAGCATTTTAAGCATTAATACCAGATATGTCATGCTAACTATCTATGTATATGGATCCCTTATGAAAAAGTACTTCATTATGAATAAACTTCCATTTTTACTTTCTAGAACAAATTTATAGAGAACACACTTACATAAAACATTTTTCCTGAAAAAGTAACATAAAGACATTTATTCATTTTGAGCATTGCCATGGAAGTTTATTTAGAGTTGGTTCTCATTAGGCTAGAGAGTCATGTAAAGAAATATGCATCATTTGCATGCTTATGAATCCGTATCTATTTAAGATTGAAAAGTAAGTAAAATATCTGGGTATCACTATGTTAAATATACATGCTATTTCAAATCTATATTAAGACATGAAATGAAGTTAAAAATATATATTTTAGGATGGGAGAAACTGAATTGTCACTGATGGGGACAATTTCTTGATAAAAATAGATTATATTTTTAGAATGATGGTTTCGTTTCAGAGAATCCAGAGTTTTGACAGATAATGCACCATTGTAATAGTGGCAAAAAAATATGTCTAAATTTGTATGGCAAAGGTAAAATATGAATTAAATATAAGGTCTTACAGGTGCAGGGAAACAGGAAGACTGAGTTTACCTGATCTGAAATTATATTTTTGCAGCTTGCTGTTTAGTTTGATGGGTGCTGCTGAGAAACGGAAGGTTTTTGGAGTTAGAAGATGACCTGAGATTTGGATGGCATGGGTATTTTGGTACAACAAAGCGAAGATTACAATGGATTTTAAATATCATTATGTTACATGTGTCATATTGAATATATGGAATGGACACAAATCTAGTTTCTGCCTGAAAACAGTAGCATCATTGTATAGATGAGAAATAAAAGGTTAATGCTTATCTTATTGTGAGATATTAAATTTTTGTCAGGGAGAATATAAAATAAGAGAAAAGAAATAAGGGCAGAGGGACATAGTTGCGATGGTTTTCTTATCTACAGCTATTATATAAAGTAGACAAAAGAATTTATGGTATTGAACATTGTTTGAAACAGAATTAGGTACAAATGGTGATGTAGCTGCTAAAATGTATACGTTTCTATTGAAATGTAAAACAGAAGAGCAAGTCAAAGAATATATGATAAAATGGGCTAAATTTTTGGCTATAATATACAGATGGAACAATGGGAAAAATATATGACTGAAAAGATTGATATTTACATTGTTATAATCTTAAAGATAATTTTTACAAAATAATGTATCTCTGGAATATATCAGCAGAGAAATTGTCTAGAATGTATAAAGGCACTTCAGATACAAGCAAAAACATGTTTTATCATGCTTGATACATGTGTAAAAAAGCTAGAAAATATCAATACATAGATTGAGTAGATTTTAAAGATGAATATACAACTAAAAACTAAGGTACTTCTTTTGGAATTGATGGACAGTGATGGAACTTTGGTTTGTACGTGATATGATGTTTTTATATATGATTGGAGGAATATGATTGTATAGCCTGGAAGTCAGAAAAGGAAGAGGGACATGACTGAAACCTTTAAATATATTAAGGGTGTGAATATGGTTCTAGAAGGCTGTATTTTCAATATTAAGCAAAAATCGAGAACATAGGGGCATAACTTCAAACTGAGAGGAAGGAAGTTCAAAAGTAATGTTAGAAAGTATTATTTCACAGAAAGAATAGTGGCAGCTAGGACCCAACTTCTAGCTGAGGTAGTGGGTCAATCATCAGTAACTGAATTTAAACATTCTTTAAATAAACACATATCCATCATCCGCTAAAAATAAAAAATAAATGAAAAAGACAAAAACAAACAAAAAACCTTTAAAGTTAAAAAAAACTTCAAATAAAATTATAAAAGAGAAAAATGTATCCAATCTGCATAGTTTCCATGAATTCCATTTAGGCATTGTGCTTACAGTATGTTCTATGGCAGCAATGGACAATTAATTTTCCCAAGGGGCCACATGAAAAACTGGATCTGTTGTGAAGGGCGGCCACCATCCTGCCTCTAATAGTACCATCACCCTGTTCCCCCACCAACACTGCAGGCCAGAAAGAGGCAGCTCATGGCTCAGGTGGGGCTGTAGGCCTTAAAATGCCCAAGTCTGGTCTACAAGATTGCTTTGCAGATAGTCCAAGCACAACTGTGCATCTATTCAGACTAAATCGTGACAGATATTTGCCAAAGTCTTCTGAGAAGTTTGTACAGAGATTGCTAATAGGGACAGCAGTAATTGCATTTTTTGATACTTCTGATGCTATGTTTAAGATTTGATACAATGATTCCAAAAGTCTTACCACATAATGCAAAATAATAAAATTAATTCACTGTGATTTTTATCATCACTATCTTGTAACTGTTAATTACACATATTCCAGTCCTCTGTAAAAATCAGATTTAGCACTTCTGCACTGTGAAAATATATCAGGAGTAGTTTCACATGTAATCTTCTTTACTGAATTATTTCAAATCTCTGTTTCAGATTTGATGAAAGCAGGAATTGCTTTCATCAAATCTATATTTCATATGTTATAGATTATTCTGACTACTTTCTCTGCAGTCATAGGTATTTTTTAAAATTGTATTCACAGTTAATTTTCTCCCTCCTTTTGCATCCTTTTGTTAGTGATTCTGTTCCAACATTTCTTTTTTTTTTAATAAAAAGTTTTTTATTTTATGTGTACAATAATTCCATTCCATTTCAACTTGTGTTAACTAGGTACATATTTCGTGTGCATACAATTATAATGAATACTTTTCTTACCAATAATCATATTTTCTTATACATCTTATCTAATATATCTGTTTTTTAACAATCTTATCTTATTGCTTTATACATTCATCTTAATCATTTAATTTGTTCTATTTTCAGTCATAAATATAAGGGTAGGAGCACTATGTTTTCTTCCCACTGGTGGTGCAAACTTACACCTTCTGTTGTGGCTCATCAGCGGCCAGCAGAGCTGGCAGCAGAGTTGGACAGTGAGGAGGTTGGGGAGGAACATGGGCCAGTCCGGGAGTCTGGGGAAGGCTCTGACGAAGGCTCTGCATTGGAGGAAGAGATGGGGCCAGGTCCATCTGACAGTTATCAGCTCCCTTCTGAGTTGGACATCAGTGAGGCAGAAGAACAGCTGGAGCCTGTTCCTAGTGTGTGTATGCACAGAGTTGCCTGATGAAGGAAACAGCTAAGGAATAAGGGTCGACTTGGGAGTAAAGCCACAGGTGAACGGTGAATAGCCCCTCCCATAGGGAATAAAAGAGAAGCAAAGGGGGAGTGGGGTTTTGCAGGAGACAATTAGCTTATTCCTGCATTCTTGCCAAGTATTGTGGCGTCTGAAAGATATCGGCCTGCCCCTGGTGGAGACTATGGGGAGAGGAGGAACAGCCGACAGGGAATGGAAGTGTGGCTCCGGAGGTTGTGCAGGAGGCTAGGGAAGGGCAGAGGCTGGCTAAGCAGTCAGAGGAGGACCCAGGCCCATCTCCTCTCCATCCTAGGGCACACAGGGAGGAGAGGGTAAGGGAAGACTTGGTCTACTTGGGAGGAGAGGGTCTTGATCCTCTTCATGGGCTGCAGCTGTGACAACTGAACAAGAGGACGGACATGCCTATGGGCGAACACTGGAAACAAAGCGTGGAAATATCTCTAGTTTATGGTTCCTCTCTGAGTTTGGCATCCTTCTCAGTGTGTGTTCTGTTATCTGTGGCTGTCCTCCAGCCCCTATCTTGCCTGGTTTGTGTTGTTTTTCCCCTCTGCTTGTGTGGGAGTTTTTTGCCTTCTGTCAAGGATATTTGGAGCTCGGAAGCAAAGTGAAGGGATAAAAGGGGCTTCACCGGGTTTTTGTGAATGTGTTTATTTTGTACCCCCCCCCCCCCCGCCCAGTCATCACACAGCCTGGCCACTCTCCAAGTCTGATAACGGTCTGTAATTGTGAACTATCTTGAAAGACTGTTGGCTGGGGCTTTGCTGGAGAGGAATTCACTATAAATTAAATAAAAGGGGTTTATCGGGGTGAGGAGTTGGCTCTGTGCTGTTGGAGAAACCTAGGTCAGAACACCTTCTACTTACAGAACTCTCATTTCCTAGGCTATTCATTATGAAAACTTGACAAAACTCCTTGTCAAAACTTCTTCATTGGTTTTGAAACCCATCTATTAAAGAGATGTGAATGTAGTTCCTGTAGAAAGCCAACATGGAATGATATATGACACCCAATCTTTCTACAGATGTTATAAAGAACATATAATGAGTCTGTATATGTTTCAGTGTGCCAAGATTCAGTGTGTCAAGCAAATACATGGAAGAAAGCTGCAAATTCAGTTTTTGGATTGGGAACACAAAGATTTTGACTTGAACAGCATATTTTTGGGAGTGCAAGAATATCCAGATCCCTAGACTCATTTTTTTCAATAAACTAAAAAAAAAGTCTCAAAAACACTTTTGTGAAAGGCAAATAAGAAAGAATATCTCCAATAGTTTCTGCCTACTTAGTTGTTCTGGAAGAATGGATGTGTCCAGTTCCCAACTATTAAATATTGCCATGTTGTGCAACCTAGGGAATGTGTGTTCCTACATTTGAGAACAGTATCCTTCCAGAGATAAGGACAGTGTCTTCTCTCCTTGGATTCTGGAAAGACTTAAACCCTGATTTTGTTCCCAGGCTTAATATTAATGTTATTTTAATGGCCAGTGTCTTGTTTTGTGGGCTTTGTTAGCTGAGCATTTTAGGCTGGGCTACCTGTTAATTCATTTTTTCTTGATATTTGTATGTTTTTTAGTTTTGCACGCTGCCAAGACTCACTTGAAGGGCAAAAATTTTAAATAAATAAACAGTTCCTTGAGACTGTAACAAGGCATTCAAAATTAGGATTGCTTTTAAACAAAACATTTTTTAATTAACATATCAGTACTTTACCTGCACTGCACTCTTCCCTAGAGCATTTTGGATTTCCCTTAGAGTCTGATATTGTTCCAGTAAGTGATCACCACATATTATGTCAACCTGAAATGAACAGAAAAATATTATCAGATAATTTAGTACTTAGTAAAAGTTGTGTTCCAAGTAAAAATATGTGCCCAATTAACAAGAATGACAGCCTGCTAAAACTGAGCTTTATAACTTTCAGAGAAACTACACAACACCTATTACAAGGCAGTTATTTTTAACAACAGTGGCAAATACTGTACTTTCTATATTTGCCCCTTATAACTTTACTCTTGTTTTACATACTTGTTAGTGTATGGGCAGAGAAATATCTTTTAAAAACTCCACTTTAGGGCTAAGACTCTTTCAGATCAGATGTTGCTAAATTTGTTAAAGATGAGCAGCTGTTCTCAGTTCAAACATAATTTCAATTTAATAATGGATGAGCCCTGCAACCCAGTTCTCTGTGGAATACTATTTCTTCCCTCTCAGCTCATCATTTAGCATTAACAAGACTCAGAGGCGCTATTTATTCACATGTAACGATTGCATGGCGTTGCTTAATTCAAGCCGCCAAAAAAGAATAATGTCCAATGATGCAACTGAAACAAAAGCATGATCATTCATTCATGGTCATACCCTTTGCTACCACAAAGCTCTTCCTATGATATCCGCAGCTTATTTAATACATTAGTGGAATTAAACTTCCTAGCGTCAGATCTGAGTTGTAGATATTTTCAGTTGCCCTGAGGCTACTGTGGGCTACAGAAAATTTCTGCTTTAAGTTTTATGACACATTTCCAATGCACGCAGAGAGCTAAACGTAATGGATTGTTTGCCCTAATACTCACTTTATATCCCTCTACTATTTTACACTTGTTATATTCCTCCACACTTTATATTCTTCTATCAGACACTGTATTTTCCTCTGTTCAGAACTGCAGCATAGTATCAGGCAAATTATGTTTATATTGATTGATTGATTTTCTGATGTTTTCACCATTAAACCCTTGACAAAAACATTCTTACACTTTAAAAATAACCAAAGCAACTCTAAATTACTTTCTGGACAATTCTAAAAACAGGAGATTTATTACAATAAATATTGTTTTACTGTATACTAGTCTTATCCATTCTCTGTGTCTTCCAGATGTATATATTTTAGATCCCAGAATTCCCCCCAAAGCACAGCTATTGCTGAAAATTTTTGAAGATGACATCAAAATCTGGAGGATGTCAAGGTTGGGGGAAGGTAATCTAAATATTCTCAGAACTATGTGATTTCTCTAAAAATCAGGCAGTTTCTTTCAAACCATTCAATAAAATAAAACAAAAATACTGACACTATAATGGAAAACCAGAATAAGAAAACATCACTTTAATAATACAGGTAGTCCTTGACTTAGGACCATTTATTTAGCAATCATTCAAATTTATGAACAAAGTGCTGAACGAAGGGGCTTAACGTACCCAAAGTTAGGGGCATTGCAGGATTGCTGGAGGCATGTGATTGGAATGTGGGTGCTTGGCAACCCATTCAGACTGATTGCCAAGCACCCTGAAATCATGTGATCACCATCTGCAATCTTCTTTGCCAGCTTCCCCAGAAAGTCAATGGGGAAGCCATCAGGGAAGGTCATAAGCTGCTGCTGCCTGCTGAGATGACTTTTGGGGATTTGGCTGAAAAAAAGCTCTCTGCCAAAATCAAAGATAGAATAGCATTACAAAGGCAGTGCAGCCTTCTGAATGTTTAGAGAACCATGTGTACTTTAGGAAACATTTCCAGGGGTCTTCCTTTCCAGAAGCTGGCTCTAAAAAGGAAAAAGGCAAAGGCAAAGATTGCTGTGGAGAACTGGAAAAGAAGGCAGCAAGGTTAGCAGATGCTGGCTAGCTGGCTGGCTGGACCAAGCAGCAAACAAATACTTGTTGGCTTGCTTACTGAGATAGGATAGAGAACGAGTGGATTTTGCTGGCATTTGTTGGGGGAGGCTGAGGTTCCTAGGGTGTGGCAAACAACCTCAAAGCTACCTGGTTCTGTGGCTGCTTGTTATCCTGCAAGGTAGGTACGGGGTGACCAAAAGTCATAGAGGAAGGTAGAAATAGACAGGGTGGGGCAGGGGTGGGATTCAGCTGGTGTTACTACCGGTTCAGTGATTATGTTTTGCATGCTGTGCACACGTGTAATAAAACTTAAAACTGTGCCACCCAAACAGCTGATGAGTGCTGCGCGCAGGTGCGCAGCATTTCAAAAGCCACTTTTTTACTGCTTTTTCAAGCTCAGCTGTGCCGCGCAAAGCAGCTGAGGTTGAAAAAGCAGGAAATTAAGGACAGGTAAGAGCCCAGGCGGGTGGGTGGGCCAAATAGCAGCATACACAGAACTGGCACAACTTACATCATAAGTTGGTGTAATCAGATGACGTTTCTCTTTACTATCATAAGCACATAAGCACTGGCTTATGATAGCAATATTGGTCATAAGTCAAGGACTACTTGTGGATAATAAGCTTGTATATAACTGAAACAAACATATTGTTTGCCAGTATAGAAAAGATTATGCTTGGTTGTATAACCATCTGCAATCATTAAAAGAGAGATTATGATAACGTGAAAGATGTAAAATTATCAGTCCTCCCAAGTAAACCATGATTAGATGAGCTAATTCTACTTTACTGTCATGCTACATTAACAAAATTTTGCAAGTCTGAAAATACAAACTTCCTGCATCATTTTTAACAATCTTGATAATCCTTAAACACTTCCTTCTTTGCCCATTAGGTAGATGCAACTTTTTATCTCTCTTTTATTTGATCATCCCCTAAGCATCTTTCCCTTACATCCCTCAAAGTCATTCTCACCTACCATTACAAAAATAAATTTCACTTAATTTTTTTGCTATTATACTAACAATACACACTAAGGATCTTCTGACATCTGCTTTAGCTAAAATGAGAAACCTGAAAGCTCATCAGGCTTATACTAGAAAGCTAAACAATAGCTATTGGCTGATAGATTTTTGCCCAGAAATGTTTTCACATAATGTTACTGTTGTTATCAACCTCAAATGTTAAGTGTTTTTTTTTTTCAGTTGATTTAAATAAATGACTGAAGAATATTACAAACTTACTATGTTAAAAGTGCTACTTACATCTCCGCTACTAATTGCTGCAAGAAGATTAAGTCAGTGGATATAACTCCCAAGGGTAAAAAGTTCAAAATGAGGTTCTCAGTTAACTGGCATTAACTTTCAGTACTTCTTTTAACTGCCTGAATTTTTCATTTCTGTTATTTTGGTCTTTCCTTTCTACATAATGCTTTCAGAGAAAAGTATTACATTAAAATTTGTGGGAACCTCATTCATCTTATCACTGTTATACATATGTTGTGGACAAAACTATATGAATTATTACAGTGTACCTGACAGCCAGGATCAAGATCCATCTTTCTTCTGAGGAATTTTTCCACATGCCCAATTGTTGCCTCTCCTGAAACACGTACAAACTTTTTTTCCAGTGGCTACAAGAACGAAGAACAGGTTAATTTACAGCTAGATTGTAATATATCTTTTGCAAATAGTCAGTCTCATGTTTACTTTAAACATTAAAATAGCCACAGAGGATGAAATCAATAATTTTTCACTCTTCATCCTTGAGACAATCTTTTGCTGTCTAGGTAAGTGGACTGCATTGTAATTCATAGGTCAGATGCTATGTTGTCCTCTTAGCAAACAACAAATTGATTTGAGGCTCCAGATATGGAAAGTGAGCTCCAGCCTCCTGAGATAGTTCTATTGCCCCAACAAATAATCAAAGCCCTTCACTTGGAGAAAAATGCTGTTGGTAGAAGACATACTACTGCAAAGGACAGAAGCAGGGATGTACACAAGACAAGTTTATCAAGAGAAGCATACTATCTAGTCCTGTGAAAAAGAAGGATTGAAAGATAACCAGTGCTCATGAAATCAACTGATCATTAGCCATAATTTCTGAACTCAAGGGGATAAATGACGCAGTCAAGAAAAGGTAGAGGTTTAAAAGCAAATATACATCTATAAATAAAAATGTGAAGAGGCTGGTGGTATTTTCATCTATCCTCTCTGTGGAGGTTGAGGAATTGTAAAGGAAAACAGTAAACTGGAAGAAAGTATTGGATTTGTAGACCATGATATATACCATCAGTATAATAAGCTTTTAGGTAGATATGTGCTGCATCCTACAAAGGCAGGAAAGAATGTAGTTGCTAACATGTCAGGAAGGATTTAAACTAAACCAAAAGAGAAGAGAGTTGGGTAGAGAGAGATTCAGCTAGAAAAATGCTAGGCCTTAAGCATATCATAACAAGCATAATGCAGTAAATGTTGTCTGAAAATCACCAATACATGGTAGTAGGGAGGAAACTGGTATCTTTCAGAGTTTGTACATACATTAATGGAGAATATGGGCAGCTATGTTCCACAAAGAAAAGGTTGCAAACATAATGCCACTTTTATTTTAATACAGCAAAAACGTTTGGTAATATAAATACCTTAAAATTCCCAGAGACATCATTTGCTCTGAAAGAAAGAGAAATGAACATAATCAGTGTTTATGTGTTAACTTGGGGCGTGGCACAAAGCCATCACAGTCAAATAAGCAAGAAGAGTCCCTTTATTATCTCCAACTTTGTCCCCAATGTCCAGGTTACCTTTGGCTGGAGAAAAACTATCTCAGGAACAGTCTTTAAGTGGAGGAAATTCAGTCCGAAAACAAAGTACATACAAACTGTAACTAAAAATTCAAACAAACCATGCTGCAGTAATTAACTTGACAGGGCAGGAGAAGGAATAGCAGACTTGAAAGCACAGCAAAACACACAGTTGGGAAGATGCCAGGAACACATATAAGCCTTGACGAAACCAGATAATTCACAATTTGCTCCCAACAACTTGCTGTCCCTTTTTAAACACTGTGTTCCCAGATGCAGCTAATGAAGGGAATCAGGGCCCTTTCCTTCCCTGTAAGCCATGCAACCCATGTTGCTCCCTTCTCCATTCCTCCCTGTGTACCTAGGATAAAGAGGGGGTGGGGCCTGGATCCTCCTACAAACCCCCTCTCCCTTGCTCTACACCTCTCCCCTGTTCTGCCCAGCCAGACTTTGCCCTTCCCCAGTTTCTTCCACAGCCAATAGAGCCACACTCCCACTGTCTGTCAGCTGCTCGGCCTCCCCCTCTGAATAAGATTCCGACAGGGGCATGACAGCTTATGGGATATACATACATTGGCATGCTCAACTTACAGGCATAAATCAAAACCCATGCTCCCTCCAGCACTTATTTTGTGGTTCCCAAAGAAAATCTTTCATTTTTGGTTTTTGAGGGGCCAAAAGGAAGAGAGAGGAAGACAGCATTTTCTTCCCTTGCCCCAGCCCTGTGGAATAGGGAGGTGAGCGAGGCCCCCACTCTATTGGCCTTCTGCAAAGGAGTTAAAATATAGTTTTTCATGGGGAGCTCAGAGAAGTAAACTGTCATGGGGCTGGTTAGTGCCCCGAGAGCCATCCCTCAGCTTTTAAACTATTTTTTAAACATGTACAATCATAAAGGGTAAGGAAGATAACATTATTTTTAAAATACCTTTCAATAAACCAGCATTTGAATGTTGCCACTTACGATACATTTAAGCATATTTGTCATGAAATACTGCATGAATCAATGTGAACATTACTTGATTATTGCCACCTAGTGGATATATCGAAGAGAGCATTTTTAAATTTCTTTCCTTGTTGAGATTCTGAACCACTTCACATATGATTCATTTGTATTTTTTAATATACTAAGACGTTGATGGACAAGGCATAAGTATCTTAAAGACACAAAGGCTGCTTGTCAATTAGTTATATTGTGAGATCTGCTGCCAAACTCAATTTAGTTTTAGTTACTTTGGAAATGAGCTTACTCCGGTGTTATATTCTTCTATCATGCTTCCAATATTGAATCAAAGATATACTGATTTTCCTGAATGGATATAACTAACAATGAGTTTTAATTACTGGAATAAGACTGTGGCAGAGAAGACTGCAAATGGAATATGATTGCAGGGATTGGCAATTGGTCAGAAGTGCAAATGGCCTGCCAAGCACTCAAATCACAATCATGTGACCGAGGGGCAACTGTGTAATGTTTTACAATGTTCAGAAGTGTTTTATGGGATGTACAACACCTTTCCAACACTACTATTATAATTTTGACTGGTTGTTAAAACTTTTGTAAATCAGGGATTACCTGTATGGACACCAATATGCATGAGAACTGAGCAGGTTTATATAGAATTGCAGATCTTAACTTATTTCACTATCCCTTGATCTTTTCACTGTACTAAAGTCTAATAACATAACTTAAAATTGTGGTAATATAATAGACCAATATAGGCAATGCATTCCTAATCACAAAATCAGTGATAAAATATTCATAGAAATCTCATAATTCTAGCTCCACCCTTTTACATTTTCACTTGAGAGATCTCACTTAAATATGTAAGGGCCAGAGTTGATATCATAATGCACATTTTACTACCTGCTAACTTGCAGTCTCCCACCATTTTATTCATATTTCTGTCAATATCAAGACTTAAGTATGATTTAATAGACAATAATTCATTGTCTATGTTCATACATAAAACACTCCCAGAAATTCAATTTTAACTTACCCAATAAATTCCAGAAGAAGTGACATGTCAAGTTCTGGAGGAATACGGAATACTGATCCTACAACCTTGCGGGGTCTCCCCCTGCCCGCTGCCATTGCCTGGGGTACAGCTAAAATATAAAAGATGAATTAGGCTAGGAATGAAAGAACAGAATAAATACATTCATACTTCTTTCTCTGTAATACTTGCAGATTGCTTTTATTTCAACACTTTCTTTTTTTCAATCCATGGTGTCCTTTCTCTGAGCAACCCATTGCCTCTGTATCACTGGTGATGATTTCATAATCTTTGCACCACTGTCCTAGAAAACTATTACTTAGAGAAGTGGTGCATTTCTTTTCTGGATGTATTCAGGTGGAAGTTGGATAACCCTAAATCAGAAATGTTTTGATTTGGATTATTATGCTGAACAGGGGATTAAACTTCATGGCCTAAATAGTCCCTTCCAATTCTATGATTTCTCAGCTCCCTCTTAGAATTCTTTTATTGGCCAAGTGTGATTGGACACGCAAGGAATTTGTCTTGGTGCAAATGCTCTCAGTATACATAAAAGAAAAGATACATTTGTCAAGAATCATAAGGTACAACAATTAATAATAGTCATAGGGTACAATAAGCAATCAAATCATACTAGGACAATATAAATATAAATCAGTATAAATTGTAAGGATACAAATGACAAAGTTACAGTCACAAGTGGAGGGGATGGGTGATAAGGAGTAATGAGAAGATTAATAGTAATAGCAGTGCAGACTTTGTAAATAGTTGGACAGTGTTGAGGGAATTATTTGTTCAGCAGAGTGATGGCATTCTTATTCTCTTATTTCTCTTATACCATACAGTATTCTCTCTCTTGGAAGTATCAATCGTCAAACCTCTTTCTGAGTAACTATTTTTAATTATTTTTTATCTTTCTTCCCTTTATGTGTTCCATAGTAAGAACATACAAAACTTTCATACACATAACAGTTAATACTAATTAGGTCTCAGACCAGAGAAGCTAAGAAGAATGGCCAAGAGTAGGGAAAAAAAATAAGAATCCCAAAAAAGAGCAGTAATGAAGAAATAATGACAAACATATACCTCTACAAATCTATTCCTTTGTGCCCTAGAGACAAATGTAATCAGAGATCTTAAAACAATATAACACAAGAACGACTGTCTTCTAAATGAGAAAATTGTCAAATTTGGCTAGGTTTTTGGTGTCAGAGTGTCTCTTACATAAAATCTCACTAAAACAAAAGATACATCTCCAAAATATCTGGCATAGGCAATGAAAAGTAATAGTTACTAATATATCATGCTGAAATTTGTGGGTTTTTTATAGACAGATATTCTCCACTACTATTTTTGATAGCTTTAAGTAAATGTTGGTATGTTTCTAATCTTCATATTTGTCTCAAAGATTCAGGAAAAGTAAGAAATGGTGTGGAATTTTTGAGAGCCACAGGCAGGTAGGCAACAAAATACAATTCTATAAATCTAATGTAATGATCTCATCAAACGTAAGTTCATCAGCAAGAATTGACTGAAGACAATAGTCAACAATTTTAGTGCAGTTTGACACATGAACAAAACTACCCACTAAAATATCATCTTTAACAGGTTTGGGACAAAAACCACTTTCATTAAATATGCCTATTCAGATTCAGATAATCAGAGTTGGAAGGGACCTTATAGGCCATCTAGTCCAACCCCCCACTCAAGCAGGACACCCCACACCATTTCTGACAAATGGCAGTCCAATCTCTTCTTGAAAGTCTCAAGTTATGTTGCTCCCACTTCTTCTGAGGGCAAATTGTTCCATTGGTTGATGGTTCTCACTGTTAGAAAGTTTCTCCTTATTTCCAGGTTAAATCTCTCCTTGTTCAAGTTTCCATCCATTATTCCTATGCCTAACTTTAGTAGTCCTTTAACAAGAAAACATTAATCGTGTTGTTTAAGGTTAAAATTATTTTGTGTTAGAATGTTAGTTTTTTCAGCTATGAATTTTTTTCAAAACTTAAAATTATAATTTTTTCAGTCACTTTTTTAAACCAAAGCAACCATAATATCAGAAAAGAAATACATATTGGTCTTAGTCTGTAGAAAAGAAGGTAAAATACATTGTTACATATCTCCTGGCATGAGGCATAATAAAAAGCATTTAATGTAAATTTTAATAAATCCACTTTATTTTAAGCAATAGTATAATGACAGTTTAAAAAACTTACCAAGTTTGGGTATTTCTAAACCTCTTTCCCTGTAGAAATCATGCATTCTCTTTTTTTCTCCTAAATGTATAAATGCAAAAGGACTGGTTAACCTCAACCTAAAAAATATGGATCTAGTTGATATAAAGCAGGGGTGTCAAACTTGTGGCCTGCGGGGCTGGATGCTGGCCCCAGCCCCACCCAGTTTAGCAAAGGGGAAAAAGTCCCGATACATCATGTGACGCCACCATGACGACGTGAGTTTGACACCCCTGATATAAAGTGAGTAGACAAAAACAGACAATGAAAATTATCTAAAATCTTCATTTTTTACCATTTCATTAAAGAAACAAAACAAATGATAAAATGCTGCAGACATGGGGCAAAAAAACTAAGTAAATGAAAAAGAAAATAAAAACTTGGAAATATATTGTCATATGCACAGGTGATTTTTTTTAAAAAGGACAAATATTTTAAATACATATTTCTAGTTTAGTACATCTACAGGTGAAAGTAATCTAAGAAAAAAATATTATGAAAAAAAGGAAATCTGCTGGTATAAGTAATAAAGGGCATATTTTAATAATTTGTCTTTAATTGAGTTTTAATTGAGTTTTTAAAAAGTTTTCGTTTCTAATTTTTCAGAACAATTTCACACACAGTTCATCCAATGTGAGGAGTGTTTTTAATTTTCCAATATTTTGTAATAAAAACCTGAGAGATAATAAAAGGAACTGTATTATTTTTATGTTGCAATAACGTATATCCATTAGAAAATATGGTGAATAAATTAACAGCAATGTATTGTGAACGACTGTAAGGTATTTACTTTGTTTCTTCAAAAATAATTGATTAAAGTATTATCTAACTGGGCACTGTCACCACTGACGATTAGTATCAATCTGCTAAAATTTCATCAATACAATCTAGAAATGCTTCAATTAACAGAATGTCATTTCAGTGCAGAATAATTTTTTTCTAAGTTATCTTGATGTTAATTATTTATGAATTGCTATAATATAATAATTCTATGTTACAAAGAAAGGTTCAATTTCAAATCCCAGATCTTGCTGTTGGTGTTTAAAATTCTGAAGACAATCTGTCAATCTTTTATTTCATTACTTTAATTCTACAGCTGTTACACATTTAACTGACCGAAATAGTACATTTTGTTATTTAAATAAAAAGGATTATAGTTCCAAAATAATATAAAGCACTGAATTCTTGATAGTCAATCTTAAAACGATTTGTGAATACCCCATGCTAAAAAAAAGAGTTCAGCAATCATTCTATTAATATGCCTATCCTGGTAATCCTTGTTTAGCAACTAAAACCGACACCAACAACTTGGTTGCTAAGCAAAACAGTCTTACTTCTCCATTACTTTATAGACCTGCAAAGGTCATAAATATGAGGACTGATCACAGTTACTTTTTCATCACTATTGTAATTGTGAACAATTGCTAAACAAGACAGTCATTAAAGACTGAAAAGAAGAAGAAGGTGAACAGGTGTGGAAAGGGCTGGGAAGATGAACATTCTAAAAAAATGAACCATTCCTTCTATCATTTTTCCAAGATTTCACACTTTTTTTCATAAATCTTATAAGCTAAGAATCTCTAACTGTAATATTCCAAATTATATAATGGAGCATGTCGTTCTTCAGCGAACAATCAGAAGAAAACACGCATGTTAAATTCAAAAATCTAAAAAGGGGGACTGACTGATATGGCAACATAAGATATATATGAACAAAGTAAGTTACATTCAGTTAGGTGTATCTTTCAGTTTTACCAAGAGCAGCCAATTCAGAGGTAAAAACTTACTTTCTTCCAGGTTGACAACTAATTTATATACTATGTCTTGCAATTGTCGATCCAGTCTATACAAAGAAAATAAAAAGTAATTTTTAAATGTAACTATTTTTTAATACAGTGACATATTGAAAGATAGACACTGACACAAAACTATTAAACTGTAACAGTCATTAAAAAAACAAAATTGCTGAAAAACAGCTATCAAAACTGCCAAATTTCCATGTCAATATTACAAAAGCAACTTTATTAGCATTTTTAAAATAGCACATTAACATTTCAACAAAATAAGCTCTAGAAACAGATTGGAAAAATATCAAGTACAAGACAGTGAAGTGTGGTCTGTAGATTAATTTCATGGTTTTAATAATAAAGTTAAATGGTTTTGAACACATTGCTAGAGTTTCAAAAGACTTAAACATATTCTCCCATATAAAATAATTCTTTGATCCAATAAGTTAATGTGAAGACTAAAATGAACATAAGAATATTAGCTAAACTGTTCATTGATAAACAAAATAGATGGTATGCCATAATAGTTAAATTACCTGATATTATAAAGCGGCTGTGTTTGATGTACTACAATGTTGCATTTTGGACATCTGTTACTGTAGTAAAAATGTCTTACTATGCAGCTTTTACAAACTGTAAAAAAAGGAATTACATGACTGTTACAAAATGATGCATTATTATTGAAAGCAGTAACATCCAGAATCTGCAAAGATACAAGAGTATTCAAAGTTATAATGGACTTCAAAAAAGCTATTTATGATCCATCCTCAAGGATATGACTGCCTCTCCCTACACTCAATGAATCAATTAATTAATCAACCAACCAACCAACCAATCAATCAATCAAAATAGAGCTGAAAGGAAGCTTGGAAGTCTTCTAGTTTAGTCCCATGCTCAAGCAAGAGCCTCTATACCATTTCAGGCAAGTAACTGTCCAATCTATTCTTATAAGCTCTTCTTAAAAACATGAAGTGAAAAAGTGATTTTGCATTTTCGGTGCTTGGCAAACAGCTCACATTTACAATTGGTTGCAGCATTCTGCGTTGACATGACCACAATTTGCAACTTTTGCTGTTTTGCATCAGGTCAAAGCAAAAATTGCCCAATAGATATGCAGGATTTGCTTAACAACCATATTGTTCACTTAATGACATGATTAGCTTAATGATTAGTGACCAGCTTTATAACCATCATAAAACAGTCATAAAATTGAGTACAACAATTTATGACCAAAATTCTGGGCTTCATTGTGGTCGTAAGTCCTAGCTAGGTTGTAAAGTAACAACAAAACAAAAAAGTAATCATTCTACTTAGATTTGTACATCCAATTTTTATACATTGCCATTAATCCAGTCTTATTAATCCAAATGGACTGACTTCATGACTGTGTCCTCCATTTAGCCCCTTTTTTGTGCATATACAGTATAGGACTTTACTTATTAAAGAAGCAGCTAGATAAAATACATTTACTTGGGGTAAGCTACTGAATGATGAATATTGAATTTATACCTGTACTTCAGGGTATCACAGTTCAGTTCACACTATTTCAGTTTTTTTTAAAAAAAAATCAGACAGCAGGCTATCACACAATAATTTATGTTCCTAATTTGCAGTAGGAAAGCTCTGAAATGAAGCAGTTGGTCGTCTTTTGCTTGATAAACAAAGCAATACTTTTTACCTACAGTGCTTCAGGCTCTAGCATCAACGAATTATTTTCTGGAGTTGATACCAGAAAATAACCTCCAGATTTGGATTTTCATAAGGCCATTATAGATTCAGTTTGGCCACGATAAATGGATTAAGAAAACAGACTTTTCATAGTTAATGTACTTATTCAGAATAACAGATATAGGAGACTGAATGTCAGATTAGGCTCTGAAAGATTTTTAAAACTTGTTCAGGGGAAAGTCAGGATGAAAGGGAAAAAGAATTTAGAAACAATTTTCATACATGATTTGGTTTTGATTTTTCAAAGACATCCACTTCAGTTGGTGTACCACATATTATAAGGCTGTGATGCAGATGCACAGTATAATCTCAGCAAACATGAGGCTGCTTTAAGAACTTACAGAAAGGTATCAAGTTCAAGCTCATGTTTTGAAGCACCCTTTTCCTTCAAGCCTAGAGTTTCAGTCCTAAAGTTTTATTGCAACTTTCATACTATTAAAGTGTACAGAACTCTTTTTTTCAACATTATGTAAACTTGTTTTCAGAAATATCTATATTACAGTTTTATAGCTTTTAATATTGCAAGCTGCCCAGAATTGTGATGGCCAGCAAACAAATTTAATCATAATTCCAATACTTACATGTATGAAGACATTCTGTGATAGTTGTGGCATCTATGAAATATCCCTTGCAGATGGAACACATGATATATGGTACCAGTTCAGAAAGATTAATCATGCGCTGAAATGTCACAAAAGTATGTCAAGACTATTGTTTAAAATTTTGCTGATAACAGTTTTTATATTTAAAATAAGTACTTGAGAACATATTTTTTTCAATAAACTATTTGCAACAATAATGGCCATATTATATAGTTGAAACCAAGTTTTATATCTCTGCAAATTTTCAAAGGTTCCTACAAAGAGTTGTGAGACTCCAAAGCAAATCTGGAAGGCCACATTGAAAAAAGAACTCTTGAAAAACAAGCATGTATTTTCTCACATAATATTTGTTTTTAACTTCTTTAACTGGTTCAACAACTGAGCAGTGTAAGACTTTCCTTCCTTCTCTGAAGGAAAGAAGACTCTATATGCAGTAGAAGCCACGAGTCTCCAAACGTTTGGACCTCAGGGACCACCAAACTCATAATTTTAAATCCTGGGGACCACTAATATGAATTTTGACTGACGGTGGCTTGCTGACGTTGGTGGGAGAGAGAGAGAAATCTGATCTAACCCCCCCTTCTCTCTCTCTCTCTCTCTCTGTCACACACACACACACACACACAAACATGCAGAGGCAGGGGTGGGATTCAAATTTCTTAACAACCAGTTCTCTGGGCATGGCCTAATTAGTGGATGTGGCTTGGTGGTCATGTGACTGGCTGGGCATAGCTTGTATGTAAATATTATAACTATTTATGTAAATAATGAATTTTTTATAAAAAAAGAGAGCAACTTTTACCCAAAATCAGGCAAAGCAGGCAGGTAGATTGAGCTGCTTGCAGAATCAGAGAATCATTCAGTAATCTATATTTCTGCCATCGGCTACCTGAATCTGCACTGAATAATAGAAGCTTCTGTCCTAAGGAAGGTTAAAAACAGAGCCGAAGATCTAAAGATTAGCTAGAAAGCAAGAAATCCAATGGTTTCCTGCTTTCTAGCTAATCTAAATCTCCTGGCACAGCAAAACAGCTGATAGTCAGGAAAAAAAAAAGGAAAAATAGCAACTTAACAGCCAAGTTTGCCAGGTAAGGAGTGAATGGGTGGGGAGGGTTCCCGCGGGCTATGTGGGCAGCGCAGCCTTGTGTTCCTGCACAGCCTGGATTAATTTCTTTGGGGGGGGTGCTCTGGGGGTGACATTTCTCTGTGGCCCACCAAAATTTTCTCGTGGACCACCAGTGGGCTGTGGCCCACCAGTTGGTGATCACTGGTATAAGCAACATGTTCCAAGTCCATCTCTTGTTTCCAGAATATGATGGGAGATACTGCCTCTGGTGCAAAAAGCTTTTGCACAAGACGTATTGATAAATCCATCCCGTACTCATCCACAACAGGATAAGTATGGGAAACTACACAGCAGGACTTTAAAAAGTTTGTCTTGCAAGTACTTCCCTTCCTAAAACATGGCAAGTTTTACAAATTACCACATGGTTTTGTTATCACTTTTGGGTTTGCTGGGATCATTTCTCTGTAGGAGCACATAAAAGAAACTAGCAAGACTGGCAGAACTGTTTTAACTGGGGTACAAAAGAAATGTCACATTGCGACAAAAAAAGAAAAAGAAAAGGGAGTGCATTTGCACAGAAAGCAATGCGAGTCCTTGTAGCCCAAGAAAATCAAAATGACTCAACATTAATCTTATCAGCAAAGTTGGCCGAAGGTAATTTGCCTAAGGACCTATGCTTTACAGAGCTCCCCGTCCTCGCGTCCCCTTAACCCCGCTGCCGAGGAAAGAGTGGCCGGCCCGTGTTACCTCGTCCTCCTCGTCGCAATCCATTTCGCCCTCCTCCGTGCCAAATCCTCCGAAGAGGGCTGCGGCTCCCCCTCCTGCAGTCCCTTCCTCCATCACCTCTTCCTCATCCTCCACCTCTTCGTTACCTCCACAGCTGGATTCAGAGCGGCTTCCCTGTTCGTCGCGAGCACCCGCTCCGGAGCAACCAGGCGTTTCCAGCGGAGCTGCGGCCGCTACTTTACCGTCCACTTCCTCGGCCGGTCCACCAGCCTCTTCAGCCACGGACCCTTCGCTTGGCAGAGTCAACGCCATATCTCCGACCAAGGACGAGCAGCCGCTCGGCTTCCGTCCACACAAGGAAACACAGTTTCCCAACAGTCACAGAGTATCGCTGTGGTCCCCAGTCGCCTCCCGGCCACCTCGCTAATTTGCGCGAGGGGTCTGCCCCCGGTCAGAATTTCAAAAAAAGAAAAAAAAGGGGGGGGTCTACCAATTTTAGCGCGTGCGCACGGCTAATTTGGCGCGCACATCTCCAAAACACCTGCATAATTTACATACTCGCGCTGTGTTCTGGGAAACCGAGTTAAATTTTGTTCCTCTGTTTGCAGACGAGAAACCGAGCATTTTTATCCGCGTGGTACGAAGGTTCCTAAAGACCGCAACTAATTTTAATTTTCAATATTAAAATAAGAGTCAAAATGTAAAAATATGCACACACGAAGCTATGTCAAAACGTGAGTGAGGCAGGGACAAAAATTAATAATGATTTACATTCATACCTGCTATTCTGTTGTCTTGTGATGCTAATTAAATATAAACTATTAAAATAACGCTGATTTTTGCTGCTTCTGTTGATCTGTCTTTAGACTATAGTCCCAATCGAGCTTACTTCCATGTACAAAAATTATTTGCCATTGCAATAAATGTTCTCTAAGTCCCAAGTTACATCTGGGGCATCAAAATGTATAGGTAGGATTTAGTTTTAGGAGTAGGTCACGGATCTTTCACTACTGTAGTATAACGCGGAGAGGGAGGGAAGCTGAGCCCTGCTCCGCCCTACTGTGCCCTACCTATAATGTAGGTATAATTCGTTTAAATGCAAAGAAAAAAACGATTAAACGTTTTTGTTTAAATGTAAATTTAAACAAAAAGGAATACTTTAAAAGTAAATTTAAAGTAACATATTTAATAGTTTTTCCCATTTAATGGATTTTCCTTTCAAAAGTATGTTTAATAGCTTTAAATAAATACATTGGCAAAAGCTTTTGAAGGTCTTTTGGACTCAAGTTTAAGGTTGTTTAAGTTTAAGGTTGCTGCTTATCTGCTAAACGCAAACTTGCATGCATTATATATTTATATCTAACTCTGAAAAGTGAAGCATTGTTTTTATCATTACCGTCAGGCATTAACAATAAAAGCTATGTGGTCAATGAATGGTGAAAGGAATATATAAGACACTTCAGAATCCAGGTAACTATTATATTTTATGCAATGCAATATAACTTAATATACATTTTAACTGCTTTTTCTACTTAGTTGTAGTGTTAAATATTACTATTTTACTATTATAGAGAAATGAGCCTTCCCAATATTTGATATACTAAACAATACACCCAAGGTACTATACTTTCTAGTGTGTAAAGACACAATGATAATTAACCGGAGTTGCTTAAGATATATGTAAGCTGTAGGCAAATTTTCATTAAAAAAAAGAAACTTTAAAAGGGAAACTGCACATTTCAGAAGATGCGATTACCCAACCATACACACGCAAGCTTCTGCGGGAGCTTTTATCCAAGCTCTTGATCAATGAAATAGTGAAATATCTCCTTTCCTTTGATTTCCATAAAGCGGAACTGTCGTAAAGCAATGAGAAGCCTCTTAAGTTGTCGCTGGGCGGGTGTGCCCGAACTGTCGCAAAAACGCGGGAAAGCAAAGGGGGAGGTGAAGCCGTTGGGCGCGCCAATATGGCTGCTTTGCCGGAGGAGCCGACGGAGGCAGTAGCGGTAAAGCCGGATCCTGATGCGGGAGCGCCGCCGCCCGCTCCGCCCGCTCCCCTCTCCCAGTCCCCGATCTCGACGGCGCCAGCAGTTGCAACAACTGTCCCTCCTGCGTCTGCCTCCTCGGTCGCTGCCACCCTTCTCGCGGATGGGGAGCCGCTTGCGGGAGGAGTTGACTCGAAGAGCTCGGTGACTTCCAGCCCCACGCCGCCAGCCACTCAACTACCCGCCGACAAGCAGACTCTGCTGGCGGTGCTGCAGTTCTTGCGCCGCAGCAATCTGCGCGAATCGGAGGAGATCCTCCGGAGGGAAGCCCGTGGTCTCGTCGACGACGTCCCGAGCGACCCGAATTCCTCCGTTCCCGGGATCCCCGGAGCTCATGGAGGGGAAGGACAGGATCCCAGTTTAGGGATCTTGGCTCCTGGAACCGGGGACGTGCTAATCAATTCTGTCCCCTTTGGCCAGACTGGAGCTCCGATCTCTCCAGCCGCTATCACGACACCTCCTGCAGCGCCCTTGGGCCATCCTGGGAAAGGTGAGGTGTAAAACATCAATAGCAAGTGTTCATTGAGCCAACTTTTGACCTGGTGTACAACATACAGTAGTTCATTTCGGAGATCTTTTGTTATATTTTTATAGTTAAATATTCGGAGGTACCATATAAAGAGCCAAAAAGTAGTACCAGATATGCAGATATCAGATATGCACTTAGGCTTTAAAGAGATTTTTCCAGTAAGATATGTACAAGAATGCAACATGTTATGTTGAGCAACCAAAACTTTTAAGACAATCCCTTAATTCCACGTGAGATTTTCATTATTCTTCGGTTGTTGTACATACAATAATTTTGCTGCAGTTATGATATATAAAATCAATCTGTCATAGGTCTTTTCTAACTCGTCCATAAATTCCAAATAAAGAATACTGGTTTCTTTATAAATATTAATCTTTAAAATCTTACAAATTTGTATCCAAAATTTCTTAACTTTCTTAACTTTTTTCTTTTCGTTTTTTGTATGTTTTTTAAATTTCTTTTCCTTTTTTCGTTTTGATTTATCTTCTGTTGTATGAAAACATCTTAGTAAATGTGAATTTTAAAAAGTGGCAGGGGTCTTAGAGGGAGAATGGGAGAGTTAGCTACATTCTAAGATGCTGCCAAATTGCCTCTCTCATATGGAATGCATTAGGAAAAATTAAGTTTTCAAAACATTATTTTATAGAGAGGCCAAATCCTGATACCCTTTACATGTTTTTGAAACATTCTGTTTGATTAGAAAGAAGGAGAAAGCTCTTGCTGATATCGAAGTTTAACAGCATTGCACTAGTATTTTCTTTCTTTGATCATCTCAAATAGTTCTTTGCAGAGGGAAACTCTTTGAATAGTTCTTTGAAGGGAAACTGCAGAGTTTCCCTTCATTCTCTATATTTGATTTTACTGTACTTAATTTGAAATTTTTGGGAGGGAATTTGTAAACAATTTGTAAAAATTTCTTAACTTTAAAAGGGTGGAATTAAACGCATTTGGAAACCAAATCTGTATTTATAGGGAAATTGCTAATGCAGCTGTTCTTAATACATTTAGTTGATAAATTTGGATCAAAACATTCTTGCTAGCCATCAGTTGAACATTGCGAGTTAAAATCAAATTTTATAATCAATATGTGCTGGATTTGGAGTAAAATGAGAGATTTTACTTCAAGGAATTCAAAGTATTTAAGATTGAAATAATGAATTGTAGAAGAATGCAGACATTAATTTTCCTTTATTAATTTTGTAGCCGGAGTTCTTGTAGAAGATCAGCCAGATGTGAGCGCAGTGCTATCTGCTTATAATCAACAAGGAGACCCAGCACTTTATGAAGAATACTATAGTGGATTGAAACACTTCATTGAATGTGCTCTGGATTGTCATCGAGCTGAATTATCACAACTTTTTTATCCTCTTTTTGTACACATGTACCTGGAACTAGTCTACAATGGACATGAAAGTGAAGCAAAATCGTTCTTTGAAAAGTAATACTTTTGTTCATTTAATATCCATGGATGTTTCACTAATAGGCGCAACTTCATAATTATAGTAACAGTTAAAAAAAGGCACATTTATTTTGAAGCGTGATAAACTGGGAATAGAAAGAATCAATTGCATTTACTTTGGGATACGCTTAGAGTAGAAAGAAAATATGTTTGAAGCATTTTGAAAATATAGAAACCTTACCAGTTATCCCTCTTGGCAGAGAAAGATTAATAGACATTCTTTTGAAAGTGATTGATTTCTTTAGGGAATTTTGATGCATAATAAAGAGATTCCCGGTTACTTGGGTTACTTACTATCTATAAATTATTTCTTTTCGGAGAGTTTTGGTTTCTTGCATCAGTGTACACACAAAATATGCTTTGCTTTGTTTATGGATATGTATATATCAAAGAAATTTTATTCTGAGGGACTTAGAATTTAGTTAAGATGATTATATTTTGTCTGTAAATTTTTACCCCTGAAATGTTCTGGCCTGAACCTTTGAATAATGTTATTCCTTCTTGGTAAAAGTAGGGTTTTATCATGAAATGCTAAAACTATTGTCTTCTGTTTGAATATACATCCATTATTTATCAGATTTATCAGATTTTGGGATCATCCAATTCTCTAGCAACTCTGAACAAGAAATAAAAAGTTATATAAATCCTAACTGGCAAAAAAACCCAAATCACAAACATGGAAACAACTATAACTAAAAGGGCTCCACAATCAATCTTTCACCAAGGAAAACTAGGTCTTAGTAATTTCCTAGACATCTTAAGAGTGAGAGCTGCATAAATCTCTGGGATACTAACATTTTAGAATTCAACAAAATAAGGCCGCTTCTGGGTCCTGTCATTTGACAATGTTTATTGACAGGACACAGAATACCCACCTGCTTAATTAGGCAGGAGATTGGTGGTCCCTCAGCCATGAAAAGCTTTAAAGGTGATAAACATGACCCTTGGATTGCCCCCAGAAGGCAAATGGTAACGAGTGCAGTTCTTGAAGCATCAAAGTCATATGCACATAATACAATGCTCTATCATTTCCCACACTTGCATTCTTGACCAGCTGTAGGTTCTGGATGGTCTCCCTTGCACAGCATTTCTCCCTTGTGTTTCAAAGTGGAGGACTTCAAAGAGTAAGACTGGGAAGAGGGAAAGAAAATTGCCCATGATTTGGTGGGGAAAATGTTACATATGTCCGACTATGATGTTCTGGATGTATTGCATAAGAACTTGGGTATTGTGTCAATTGTTACCCATTTTGGTTACATGTACTGCTGCTAAGAGTTGCTGCTAACGGAGGACTGTCAGTTGTTTTCCATTCCGTTTTCCATAAATCTCAATTATATTTTTGTGCCATAGTTTTTGTACAACTATTTATGTTACAATTTTACAACTACTTCAAGATCTGATTACTTCAATCAATGTGATG